GTATGTAAGTTTCATTCTAGTGAGGTCTGCTCCGAACAACACAAATTCCAAAGGAGTTCTGTGTTCTCACATGTTGCATTAGTATACTGACACTCTGTACGTTTGAGAGTGAATATAATGAGACTATGAGTATTGAAACCCATGCGCTCTTTAGTGATGTACTGTACCACCATATGGCTCACCATAGACATACAGTAGGTGCATGTAATTATGTAATTTAGATATTTTCCATGTGTGGCAGTGTGCCTGTGATCCAGAATGAAAACAAGATCATCTCTTAATTTGCCAAAAGAGGCCTCCAGAAGCTTGGTAGGAACAGTAACAGACCCTGGACAAATAATGGGTTAAACAATCTACCAGGATCACTTTCATCATGGGCACATGAAATTCAATCAGCCTCATTTTAACCGAGTATGATTTTCAACTGCAGGATGAATGAAAGTGTGTTTTACAAACAGACTCCTAAATGCACTACTGGAAATGTCTTTAGGCTCATGATAACAACATTAACTTTCAGATTTGGCATTTTGTGGAAAATCCTTTTTCCTTCAGTACAGACTTTTCTTAAATCTGTCCACTGTCAGTGACTAGTTCACTTTAATACCATGGTGCAGAGAGACATTTATGTTTGGAAGTTCACCTCAGCCAGTTTTGTTTTTAAATTAAAGGTCTTCCACAAAGGCTCAAACTGGACAAAGTATTCCAGCATCTTTTCCTTGGAAAGTGAATAGTGTCTATCTGTAGCAGGACTGATTGATATGGATTTTGCCTGATGCAGTAGAATCTTTTCCCTGATGATGAGTATTCTTGCGACAGATTCCCTGACCACCCTGTCCCATATACTGTAGAAACCATGTCATGTTTGGTGTCAGTAGTGGGATTAAGTCTTAAAATCACAGATGTGGTCAAGTCATAACGGCACAGCAAGAGATTCCTAAACTCCACCTAGGCACCCAGGCCACCTTGCAAGTCCAACTGACAGCACAACAAGAGGGTAACTGAGTCCAGCCTGAATATTTTTAGAAACAGCTATAGGCCGCTCAACAGTTGTACCTGTAATGGGATAGGAATAAATAAAAAATAAAGCAGCAGCTAGTACAATGTGAGAGACTATGCACCCTTGTCACTTATTACAAATTATAATTAAGATTATGAATTGTTATTAATATTACAGATCATGCCACTGAATTACAACATTGAAGCCTACCTACTGGCATTTCAAAGATCAAAACTTTGGGGGCAAAACACAGAAGGTCCATCATGATCTGGAGTCCTTATAGGCACAGAAATGCCATTAAATGCCAATGCGGCAAATTAACAAAGATGGAATGTTACATTTAATGTACCTAGCCAGAAATACGTATTTTTAATTACCTTTTCACATCATAATAATTGTTTCATAAATATTTTCTATTTTGCTCAGCTCAGCTTTTCATAAAATTGAAAAATCTTCTTTGGTATTGTCACATGTGTAACAACAGGTGTTTTTTTATGAGTGAGTCAGGGTGTTTAGGAATATCGAGTTTTGCACATTCATCTAACCAATTGGTCATAGGTAGCTTAAAGCTCATTCCATGAAGCCTATAAATTGACTCTATTTTTCACGCCTTCTGGACTATACTGTAATTGCTTATCTCACGCGCACATGTTAGGGCTTATAGCTCATAGCCTAGCAAAACTATTTGATTAATCTGGTCTGAATGGATCATGGAACTAAGAGGACTGAAGAATCACCAACATATCAGTGTCTCCGATAGTAATATGTTACAAGCACCAATAGCAAAATCAATGCATTCTCAATCTTTCTTGTCTTGTAGTATTTTGCTTTGTTCTGGGGGACATTTTGTAGCTCACAAATTAATACACAGAGCTGGCCTTGAGCAGATATTAATCATTAATGTGAGTGGAGTTTCACAAAACTACTGGACCACAGCAGGGATTTGTATTAGGGAGCCTGGTCCTCCTTAATCTAAAACTTTGTTTTCATACTTCTGGTTCCACTAATTTTGCTTCTGTACAGCTTTGTTTTCAGTGTGTTCCAGTATAGCACTGTAGGAAAATGTATTTGATTCACTCAATTGTTTGAGTATGTAGCAATCCTCAGTAGGAAATGTTCGGACTGATCTTGACTTTGACATCGCCTTTAATATGGCAGCCTGCCAGTCATTCTTTCACAGTGGCTTCTGTTTTTTTTTTTAATTAAAGTTTTAAAACTCTTTATTGAAGTGGGTTTTTTTTGGCTTGGAATTTATCCATTCAAAAATGCCTGTCCTTGGCTCCCATCCAGTAACATTTCATTCTCTGACTTATCAATGAGATTAACAGACAGCTTTGAATGGATGCTGCTACTCAGAATAGATTTTGATTTGTACTGTGAAACCAAATGTCTAGAGTCTATGTAAAGAGTAAATAAATTAACTGATCTTCAAAGATAAGAGGCTTATTAATGTGGATTTTAAGTATAGGATGTAAAAAAAATCTCATTTTGGAAAAACTAATATTTTGGATATAAATTAATGAAAGTATCTCTAAAAACATTTTGAAATATTTAAATTGTATCAAGCGACACTTCTTTGTATCTGCATTGTGAGTCTCTAAAAGGAAGTTACTTTAGAAGACATGAAGTAATTAAGATGCATTTGCCTTTCAGTTACATCTTTATATCTTGGTCAGTGCTGCTTCCAGCCATATGCTAATATTACTCATTTATTTGGTTTATGTTTTTTATCTAAAAATGTATATGCACCCATTTATACAGCAGAGTATTTTCGTAGAGCAGTCTAATGAGGCATCTGGCTCAATGGTAAGCAATAGTCCTAGATTTAGAATAAGGACCCATAATTTCCAGTTATGAGTTCAAAGCTCAAACGACTGATCTACACTGCATCCTACTGTACTGTATACAGTATATACTGTATATACAATTTATTGATTTCCATTTTATATGCTGACTTAACTTTAATTTACATTTGTATTTTGTTCTTATATGAAAGACTCAAGCATGTCTTTTGGGTTTTATTTAAATACAGTTTTAATCCTTAATAAAAAATAAAGGAATAGACAATACAATCTTTTGTCATGACTGCATTATTTTTCTATGATTACGTGAAACAATGTAACGTATATGAAAATGTTCAACAATATATTTAAATAATTTGATACAGGTACTTTGTATACAGTATATACGTGTGTGATAAGCTAAATCTCCTCCAATGAAACAAAATCAGATGCAACATTTAAATTATGATGGATTATTGTTATTATTGTATAATCGATTATTGTCGATTTTATCCAAAGCATTTTATCCGAGCTGGTCACTTTACAGCTGTAGTGATCTGAGTGCAGTGCCGTATTTTGCTTAAGGATAGAACAAGTGTCTCTCCCAGGATTTGAATCCAGAACTTTGTACTTACAGTGTAAGCCCAGAGTTCTAAACATTCTTCCACACGTGCCTTATCAAACAGACTCAGTCCATACTGTAATAATAATGTGCCCCAAACAGATTAAAATGGTTTCGGATTAAAATCTAATTGTAAGGATTGTATAACATTTACTATTAACATGATAAATAGCGTCATAGTACAGTATATATTCCACAGTTCGTTGTAGCTTTAACATCATTAATAAATAAAGAAATTAAGGAATTAAGAAATTAAAGCAGTATGAAAAATAAAATAATAGATACTATATATGTAAGATGCTGTCTCAATATTTTATACATTGGTTATCCAAACAAAAGATGTCAAAAACAGTTGAATTTGAAATAGAAATTATACCTATCATTAAAAATTCTCCTCTTGAAAATGACTGACCCTCTACCCATTATGATGATCCCTATTCTCCTCTAAAGATTGAATGTTTTAAATGTAAAAATATACAGTAAACACTACAGGCTAACAGTCAGGGTGGGGTGTTTTTTTTCCACCATCATCTCTAAAGTAAGTCTGCATCTCCACCTGCTGGTTTGAATTTCTCATAACAATTGTAGAGAACTGGCTTCTGATGAACTGGCAGGCAACAAAGGTGATTTCATGCTTTAAGAAGAAATGTTATAAAAATGTTAACAATGTTTTTATTTATATTTTGTGTTCACACGTGTGTTTTCTTCTGCATACTTGTAATATGTAAGCTTTTTCATTGTAAAAGAATTTTGCCCTTAGACTAATTTGCATAAAAAGTCACTGTACTTGTGATTCTCCAGCCATTTGCTAAACCCTGGCATTGTATTAGGAAAATCAAAAAGATCAAATCGTTTATAATTGTGTATGTACTTTCAAATGCATTTTAAAAAGTAGAGTGTTCGTGCACACAACACAGTTAAAAGCTAGGTATTTGAAAGAATCATGCCTGGAATTGATAAGATACAGTAAGAGCATTTGCAAAAGAGTGGGGAATATTAAATTACAGTCACATCCCCACACTCAATGCCATTTAAAATTAATACTCAAAGCTTTTAATAGTTGAAGATTTTTGCTTCTATTTGAGTTTTATGAAAAAATGTATTTCTTTTGATTGCCCATGGTTGCTTTGGCCAGTGTGGTCTCTGGGCTGAAATATAATAGTATTATAGGCTTGATAAAGACATTTACAACATTAGTATTCCAAGTATGAGGAAGACATATTCATTATTTTAAATGGCAAATATCACATTGTAATTCACTATACATAACTTGTTTTCTAACTGTGATTATAGGGCAACCATTTACCTGCTGTAATTGTAACTCAGATTTTGGATTTTCATAGTGTTCTCATCTAATTGCGATAGCCAGGTTTTGGTATTCTTACATAACCTAAACTAAGAGAGCAGAGGGTAACAATGAGATTCAGCACATAACACATTAGTTTATTGTTTGTGTTTTGGGTAGAATCCAGCATTAAATATTTACTTTGCTTAAATAAACTTTAAATAATGTTTAATGTTAGTACCACAGAATAGGATTTGTTAGCTATTAAACCAAATGTTAAATCTTGTTGTGATGGTGTTTTGCTCTGTTTTACAGAATATTTCAGAACGTCAAAATGAACCTGAGGTACAACAGCACAGAACACACCTTTTTAACCAGCAACTCCCCCACAATGAGAGGCTTCCAAGATGCAGAAATTCTTCAAGACAGCAGATGGCACGAGCACATTAATAGTGTGGAGAATGATTCATTTAATAGTGGGAACCCAAATCTGACATCCTTATATAACGCCACTCAAACCCCTCCAACAACCGATCCCCTCGGGGGACATACCGTCTGGCAGGTTATCCTCATAGTCTTCTTTACCGGCCTTTTATCGTTGGTGACTATCATTGGTAACATCCTGGTTTTGGTAGCTTTCAAGGTGAACAAGCAGCTAAAGACGGTCAATAATTATTTTCTGCTTAGTCTTGCATTTGCAGATTTGATCATTGGCATAATTTCGATGAACCTCTACACCACATATATTATAATGGATCAGTGGGCTCTGGGCAACTGGGCGTGCGATTTGTGGCTTGCCATTGACTATGTTGCCAGCAATGCATCAGTCATGAACCTTTTAGTCATCAGCTTTGATAGGTACTTTTCAGTGACCAGACCACTCACCTACAGAGCTAAAAGAACAACCAAAAGGGCTGGCATAATGATTGGCCTGGCATGGTCCATTTCTTTCGTTTTGTGGGCGCCAGCCATCTTGTTCTGGCAGTACTTTGTGGGAGAACGCACTGTGCCATCTGATAAGTGCTACATCCAGTTTCTCTCGGAGCCCATCATCACCTTTTGCACCGCGATTGCTGCCTTTTACCTCCCTGTGACCATAATGACTGTGTTGTACTGGCGGATTTACAAGGAAACAGAGAAGCGCACTAAAGAACTGGCGGGGCTCCAGGCGTCTGGCAGAGAAGCCGAGACCACACACTTTGTCCACCAGACAGGTAGCTCCCGAAGCTGTGGCAGTTATGAATTAACGCAACCATCTCTGAAGAGGTCTGCTAGAAGAAAACAAGGTCGTTTTAATTTCTGGCCAATAATGATGTCCTGGAAGCACAGCAGTGAAGGTGAACAGGACCACAGCAGCAGTGACAGCTGGAATAACAATGATGCAGCTGCTTCTCTGGATCAGTCAGGCTCTTCAGATGAAGAAGAAATACCTGAAACCCGAGCCATTTACTCCATTGTTCTGAACCTACCTGGTATTAAGGCAGCTGTCAACTCCCAGCTTACTTCCCCTGATGATCTAGAGGTGTCTGAGGAGGACCCTCTTGGAGTGGATCGAAAGGAAGGCCTTTCCAGGAAAGAGAAGGAGGAAAAGGCAGACAACAATTACCACCAGCATTTCTCCAAGATGCCAGTGCAGTCGATGCCCTCCATACAAACGCCTAAGACAGAAGAGACAGTCTCTTCCGCCACCAAGTCTTCATCCATGCCCATATCCTTCAAGGACGCCGCAATGGCCAAACGCTTTGCTTCAAAAGCACGAACACAGATCACAAAACGGAAACGGATGTCACTTGTCAAAGAGAAGAAGGCTGCACAGACTCTCAGTGCAATCCTGTTCGCTTTTATCATAACGTGGACACCATACAATATCATGGTGCTAGTGAACACGTTTTGTGACAACTGCATCCCGGAAACACTGTGGGCTTTGGGATACTGGTTATGCTATGTAAACAGCACAGTAAATCCCATGTGCTATGCCCTGTGCAATAAAACTTTCCGAACCACTTTTAAAATGATACTTCTGTGCCAGTGGGACAAAAGAAAACGGCGCAAACAGCAATTTCAGCAAAGACAATCTGTTATTTTCCATAAAGGAATTCCACGGGACCCTTCATAACATAGACTCCTGTTCCATGTGGTGTGGATATCCACAAGTAGATAAGGGTTTTGACTTGCATTTCCCATCAACACAAAACCCGGGTGTCTGCTGAACAGTTTTATCTTTTGTTCATCTATCACTTAATTCTTATTGGTGTCTTAAAAGATGACTGATGTTTACTGATATAACATACAGTATATCAATGGGGCACTAATGTACAAAGGGCTTTAAAAATGTGAAATTACAAAAGTGCCATTGTTTCTTCATCCCATAGTAATAAGAGTGACATAGACCATTGCTCACTGTTAGTCTTATCAAGACCTATACACATCTGTATGAATCTCTGTACACATCTGTTTGTGAAACATGACCTACCTGTAAGTGTTTTCTTTTCTAGTTGGCAAACACATTACAGTTGGGACTATAACCTTTGAATATTGTATAGCTCTTTCTCATTTTCTAAAAAAAATAATATTTTTTTCCAAGTGTCTGTTTTTTTATTAGTGAGTTTTAAACTACAGAAACAGATCAAATATTGAGCCAACTAGTTATTTTGTAATTTTTGGTTTAGACATTTTTCCTTTTAATTTTAAAGCTGTGTTCTAATTGTTTGCGAATATTGTCATTCTGGTTGTCTCTCATGTGACTTCCAGTGATCCAGTGTTGTGAACACAGAGCTGTTGTAAAAGCTGCTTATGTATTCAGTGTGGGATGGTGTTTACATGGTTTAGACAACTGTGCAAGTATTTTAAATGGTGTCTGTGTACCTGAAATGTACAATTTTATGTTTATATATATAAAAAATATTTATACATCTTTACAAAATGTTTATTTAAAGAATACAAATTTTTCACTCTGAATAGATTCACATAGCAACACCTTTTTCAACATGCCTAGCATGTCATATGAGTCAGTCTGCAATTATATATATAAATTATTTAAATTTTCTTTTTCTTTCACTGTTTGGAAAAGATTATTAAAATATGAATGTGTTGGTATGGTATATAATAATGAAACCACATTGCAGTCATTGTGTTCCAGTGCATCCAAACCTACAGTAACTAACTTTTTTACTAATACTGAAAAGGTTTGTATTCTCAGATCTCAGAACATTGTACTCAGTCGTACTTGTAATGTGATGTAAAGGCAGTCTGGTGGTGACCCTCCGTGGAAACGAATGGGCGTGAATTCTGAAAACTGTTGTAACTCATGGTGTGGCTGGGAAACAGTGGTTTACAGATGTGATCAGCACCTTAGATTCATAACATTTGATGGAAAACAAAAGCACATTTTCAGTCCTTTCAGAAATGTGAATAAATGAATTACATATCTGAATATCCATTGTTCTGAATATTTTCTTCCAAAACCTTCACTGCACAAGACCCAAGCCATGTACAGTATGTGTTTTAAGATCTTGTGTTAAACAAACTTTTAAAAATATAAAATGCCATGTGATTGTGGCAGGAACAATAGACTGTATGCCAAGGACAAAAATGAATGCTTAACTGCTCTGTGGAATATCACCTTCACCTGCTTTTACGCATATATTTATTTTGACAACAGCGTTTCCAAAAGGATTTTGAACAAAGGTAATGTTAATATACCCTAGGTGGGTAAGTTCTTGATTTATTTCACTTTGAGAAACATCAGATGAAGAAAGTGATGAGAGCTGGAATTGTCTTGGCTTGGTTGATATTATTTTATGTGTAAAGGCAGTTATCTTTGAAAGATTTGTCAGATTGGATTTTCCACCTTCATTTTCTTGTGAACCATTATTGTTTTATCACAGCACATTTTAACAGCACTTTCATTTTGTATATAGTTAGCAATAGAATTTACCCTGCAATTGCATCCTTTGTAAAATAATTGAACTGACATTTTATTTAATTTCTACAATGCTAATTAATTACAGATAGCAACAGTGGTAATTTTTTACACAATCTATAAATAGTCATGTCCATTTTAATAAATGCATTTATTGCATCAGGAAGAACTGATTGTCTGGAAGAGTGTTTTCTTCACTGTGCATTGAAAGTTTGCATTTGATCTACCAAGAAACTTACTTTCCTGAACAAATGTTAAAACATATCATACCAAAAACATCAAATATATTTAGCTTCTGTGCAGTTAAAAATTAATTTAATTTAATTTTATTACAAAATGAACAGCAACTCTTTACAAAACGTCCTTGGATAGGAGAGACATTTCAGCTTTATACAACCACTCGACCTAATCAGTCCGATCCTCTTCTGAAATATATTGTATTTTGATATTCAGACAACACAATAGAATTAAGCAACTTTATAATGGCAAACGACATAGTATTATAGAGTCCATTCATCTATTTTCTAACCGCTTCTTGCCATTCAGGGTTGCAGGGGAGCTGACACCTACCCTGGCGAACAACAGGTATAAGACAGGGTACACTCTGGACAGGTGCTGTACCAGTCTATCAAAGGGCACACACACGCACCAGGGCCAGTTTTCCCAAAAGCCAATTATCCCACCAGTATTTCCTTTGAGTGTTGGACGAGCCCAGAGCACCTCGCGAAAACACACGCAAACATGTGGAGAACATACAAACACCACGCAGACAGCACGCAGGTCCTGAACTGAACCCAGGCCCCCAGCGCTGCAAGACGGGACAGTGTATATTATATTAGATTAGCATCGCTCGAAAGAACAGTAATGCTGAACATAATGGATGTGTGTTTTTTTACTCTGTGTGAGTAACAAATAAAATCACATTTTTGAGTGAACGATGACCCTTAAAGACCTTGCTTGTCGATCAGGCCCTTTTACAGACAACATACTGTAATTCTGTAATTTCTTTGATTTATCAGCTGCTTTAATTAGAAAATAGATAACTTACAGTACATTGAAGTTTAGTGTATGATTCAGTTTTCTTTTTTTTTTATTTTAAAAGCCAGGATGCATGGGAAGGCTTGTACAGCTTTTTGTATTAAAATTACATACTGTATTACTTTTTGTAATTGATGCCTGACAAATTGCATTATGATGTTCTGTAGTTGTGTGCACTCTCTGCCACCTTTATGCGGTGTCTGCCGTAATCTCAGGCTTTACAGTGTGATTTTGGTAGTCGATGATAAACTGTTTTATGTTATGATATTGAGGTTATTGAAACTTGTGCATAGAGGACCTTACAGGAATGATTTTAAAATGGCTCAGATTTATTTAAAACCTACAGCATACGGTGGGTTGCAATCCATAATCCTAGGGGGCAAACATAAATATAAGCACTGCTACTATTTGAAAAACATGTTATCATTATCTGCATATCAGCTAATAAACGATTTATTCTTTTTTTAATTTGAAATCACTTTTTAATTATACACCCACGTAATTTGGAGTTGCAACTATTTTTTTAAATCTCTGATCTCCAGCAGTGACTCAGACCACACCTGCTTAGAACAGCAGATATGTAGCTGAATGAAACATGTAGACATGCGCCAGTACAGTATGCCTACCTTTTAAGTCACTCGTCTGACACACTACATGTTTGTGGTGTACCCAGCATTTCTGCCCTCATTGATTCATGCCAGCTCTGCTTGGTGAGTCCCAGTCACAGGTGGCAAAGAAATACAGTATGAGCCAGGGTGACCCTAGCATCAGCTGATTCATAAATTTCAAGCTGCAAGCGAATGTTTTAGACATTTACAACATACAGTATGCTAAGCTAAAGATAGCCAACTTCATGGCTTATTACTCTATCCCACTAATATAGTAATCAATTAGCTTTTTGTTTTAAATCTTGAAATCATGCATTTGGCAAATGACACAAATTTGATTTTAATTGGTGAAACATTGATAATTACACAATGAAAAAAGTGTTATACAGTAGGCTTTACAGTATGTCACTCAGTGAAGGGCAATGAATCTGATGTGGTTTCAGTTCACCATAAGCATTTTCTTTACTGTTTTGCTTCACTTTATGAACGTTTGTTTTTGCTTGTGTATGTTTTTCGAAGGCAGCCGCTTGTTTTAAACTTTAAACAGCACAAACATGAAAGTGTGAAGGTGAAGGGGTCAGATGCTTTCTAAAAGTGAAAGAAGAGGAAGGGAAATTGTGTTCATTTGCATTTTTATGACATAAATAATCTGAAACATTTTGCTAGACATGATGGATCACTTTAAAACAAAAACATATTTCTGAAACTGTGAAGGATGTTGTACAGTGTTGCAGCTTTTCATGTGTTTATATGCGTATTTTTAAACCTACTGGGTAGTGAAGCTTGATGTTTTTAATTTTCTTCTTTGTGTTGTTTTTGCAGTTCATCTGTTTATTAAATGCAACAAGATTTAAATTTCCCACATTATCTGTCTTTTTGTACACTGAATAGCCACATATAATTTGTGGCCATATTTTTAAACATGGTCATTTATAAATATATTGTTTATGGATTGCTTTAAAACAGCAATAAATATTTTAAAAACTGTCTGTGTTATTTCTCTTTCATCTTAAAAGCTTATATTGCAAGTTTCTTTTAAAGATATGTGCGTGATGAATTTCAAGTCACATGAAATGTTTCCAGCAAAACATATATCAGAGCAGATATGGGTACCAGTTGTGGCTTGGAACAAGGAAATATTCTTCCACCATCCTGGGTCTCTGTAACGAGACTGTTTTCACACCGAAAGTGTAGAGCTACACTACCACCATGACTGGGCATCCAGCTTTTTCTACCATCCCGAAGTACCTCATCTTGCCCTGAAGTAACACTGCCCCCCTTTGATTTTTACCCTGAACTTCATGGGGCAAAACCAACGCCTGAATTCCTCCAAATTGCATCAAATGTTCATACCTATTTTTTCTTTTAATCATCCTTAAGCAGTCCTCCAGACACTTACACAAACAAGGCCAGTAACAGCTGTTGTGTTACAGTACATACCGAATGCTTTTTTCATATCTACTCAAAGAAAAAGAAAATGAAGCAAACAGTTCTACATGTGTTACGTTCATGATAAACATTTTCAGTGATATCTATGGTATTTATGAAAATCTGTCATAACCAACAACAGTTTCTGTGTCCTAACAGCTGTATATATATAGTAGATGAAAACATACTGTAATTACACTATAATAATGGTTTCCATTTAAAAATGCCTGGATACAGTTCCTCTGACATACAGTACAGTGCTATTGTCTTATTTTAGATCTGGGAGTATATCACCTCATTCCCTTTGAAGACCTCTTACTCAATGTCTTGAATCAAAGCACGTCAAAAATGACTAAAGCTCTGCTGAATACTGGAATGTTCAAATTATAACAGCAGAAGATTTCAATGCAGAAGATTTCAGTAATGTCTTACTGCGAGGGTGTCCACATCATAAGTGGAAGTCTCACTTACAGTGACTTTGGGAGGCTTCCATGGGAGGCAGCCATCTCTGGCTCTTTTGTGTGCCAAGAGTGGGGACTAAGCCAAAATGGCTGCTAACAGCCCAGTAATTGAGTCAAGGTGTGGGCTGTGAAAATCAGGTTCATCTGAGGCACATTATAGAGCGTAAGCCCCATGAAGCAGACGCACATGGAGTTGTAGAATCACGTTTGACTTGAACGGTAAACAGTCCACTCTGTGACTCTGTATTGTTTGTGGGGAGAAAACAAATGACCCTGCCCCATATATTGAACTGGCCAAAGGTATTGACAGATCTCCAAAGGGAGATATGATTAGTATGATTAGAAAGAACTACTTGACCATTAAAACATGGATATTGAAACTCGTCTGCGTTTCAAACTGCATAAATTAGCATTGATTTTAAGGTCGAGTGAAGCATAACGTTAAGTGTTACTGACATACTGAGTGAAAGCATTATGTTTTGACATCATGGTAGTCTCATTTGCCTGTTCAATTGTTACTGGACCTGTATATAAATACAGCTGAAAAACTTGTTGAAACCCATGACCTTCATTTATTGGGATACCCAAGAAGTTTACTATTTGCCATTCTTAAATGCTGCTTGTCTTCCTTGAAGTTCCAGAACAGTAAAATGCTGCTGCAGCAAAAAAACAAACAAACAAATCAATAGATAATTAAAATGAAACAGTCTAATCAATATTCATTGTGCTAATCAAATTGGTAGAAAAACAATCAATATTGTCCATTTATTATTGGAAAGCTAGTTATCCCTGGCAAGGGATGTTGTAAGCTGAAAGAATATAATTTGAGGTGAGACTTTATGCAGAATTGGATGCCAGTCCATCGCAGGGCACGTACTGTACACCGGGTCTTTGGAAAGTAGAAGGAAACTGGACTCTCCCAACAATACCCTGAGTGAGGATAAGGAGAATGTGGACACAGTACACACAGAGAGTCTCCCCAGGGCATTCTAGAACTGTGAGACTGCAGAGCAGTACTGTATCCATACTTGAATAAACCACTTTTTAAATGCAACGTGCATTCATGCCTAATTATTATATATGCAAAGCTGACTGATTGACAAGCCTAAAGACATTTTCATACCAGAGGTTTTGCTGAAAGGAGGTTTAAGATCAATGTCATATATAATGTTTTTTGCATCTTTTATTATCTCCTGAGTATGGAGTAAATGACAGTATACGCAATGGGAATGGGAATGGGATGGGATGGGAGGAAAGGTCATATTTGAAGGGTACTGAAAGTGTTCAGTTCTGCTGGCTTTATTCACAGTCCTACTATTCCGTTGCTCAGTGAATGAGGAAGCAGTGTTGCTTGATGTGACTTTCACAAGGGCATTCATGCACCTTCAGCATTATTAACTGATAGGAAGCACTATTGACTGACCAAACCCTGATTAACAGGGTGTTATGACCCACGAGGGTCCATCTGAGGGATTGTTCCCACCCAGCAACTTTTTGGCTGCTAACAAGTGGGAAACTATGAAAATATTTCTATCCATCCATTTTCTATCCATTTTATTCAATACAGGGTTGCAGGGGTGCCAGAGTCTGTCCTGGCAAGCAACAGGCGCAAGGCTGGATGAATAGGATGCCCGTCCATCAGAGGGGACACACACACACAAACAAACACACACCCACTCACACCAGGGCTGATTTTCTCAGAAGCCAAGTTAGTCTACTGTACTGGTAAGAATTGTGTATTTTAATAAGGTTTCTGTCACATGCACATATTCCTACTTACAGTAAATTGTACATTCATGTCCTGTTCACTAAATATAACCAATATATACAGTATTCTCTATGTTTATCATTGGTGTTTAGTTTAGTGATGTAATTGTCCCTTTTTCATTCAATTGGCACATTACACAATACTGTATACTGCTGATTTTTTGTCTGTGAATAATATATTACTAATGGTATATGGTGAATAATTTCCCAATACAGTACTTAGTACGTTTACCACACCTTGCAGTCAATTTAGTGGTCCATGTGGCAACAAAGGACATTTCGCTTAGTAAACCCATCCAGTCATCCTTCCATTACCAAAAATCTGCTTATTCATGGTTTTCCTTGTCCAAATGTCTGGGGTCCAAGGAGGACTACGTCCTGCGTTGAATGCCAGTCCAATGACAAGACACACGCACAGGGACAATTTAAAGAGACAAATCCACCTAGCTAGCTTGTCTTTGGAAAGTGGGAAGAAACTGGAGCACCCAATGAAAGGAACCCTGCCAACAAGGGGAACATGCAAACTCCACACATAATGTACCCATGACCCCAGTTCTCTGAGACAGGAGTACTAACTGCCCTGCCACCTAAATTCTAAACTGAAAATGTTAGAGGCAAAACATGAGAAATCATAATAAAAATAGGCCTTATTGAAAATGAAGTTTTTTATTGTAAAGCATGAATCACAGTTTATTTCGAAAGTGAAATCGTTTTTATCTGTTTTGTTTAATTTTGTACTGTATCTCTAGCTGAATGCAGAAATTCAAATGATATGAAGTAAGTATACAGTAGCTTTTGCAGCAGTCCCTGTGCAGTTAAAAAATATCTGGGGTTCAGTAACAGACCAGATCTATAGACCAGTATAATTTGACAGTCCCAGAATATCTAGCATGTCTTTGCTAATTATCTAAACCAATTATTTAGAAAACTCAACATAACCTCATCTCATCCTGTTGTAAGGACTAGTCATAGTAGGCATTAAATATTTGAAAATCCTGGTGGATAAGGCTAAATGCAATGCACTAACTTTACCACACAGTGTCAGTATAGAACCAAGTTTTATTTTACCCAGCAGAACATTTTCAAACCTCTGTTGTCTCTTACATAATCACTTAAAAATTTAAATTTACTTCTGACCAAGAGGTGGCAGAGTAATACATTACCTACTGTATATGACTAGCAGATGTTGTACAGTATTTTTATTTCTTGATAATGATCATCATAATGATATTGCAGATGTACAAGAATATGATCAAATATCTGCAGGGGGACATTACTGCTGTTCTGAAAGACTGACAGACCCATAATGCACAATGAGGTAAGCTTTTAGAATGGGACCAGAAAAGTGCAGCAGAAGGAGTTTTTTTTCTAGTCTACAAACTTGGCAAAACAGATACTGTATTTGTCCCTCGCTGATCTCCGTTACCTACTCTTATTTAATTCTTTGAAGAGCACAGTCTATGACAATACTAATAATAATAATAATAATAATAATAATAATAATAATAATAATAAT